GCCCCAACAAGAAGATTCTAGTCTTGCTCGATGGAGAATGCTTTTATGAGGAGGAGTATGAAGAGAAGCCCATGGGGAATGGATTCGGTTCTGATGCTGATTGTGAAGATGATCATGTGGATGAGTGATAGCATCGTATTTGCACGTGTTTTCACTCTGGTTTCCTGTCCATTTTAGCTTGAATTGAATGTTCCTTGGCCTATTTTACGCTAGGTTGTGTTGTTTTGTCATATTTCAGGTCCTAGCAAGTAAAGAGGTGCATAGGCGCAAGTTTCGGGTCATTTGGAGGTCCGATGGTGATTCACATGACAAATTACGGGCAGCCCCTGCCAAATTACGACCGTAATTGGTCAGGGCATGCCCGTAAAACCAATGCCGAGCCACTTTTCCCAAGAATTCTTCTCGGCAATAAAATTACGGGCAAGCATCCATCAAATTACGACCGTAATTATAGAAATACTGGCGGTAATTGTGCAATTACGGGCGTGGCTCTTCTTCCATCAGAGTAAAGCGAAACGCGCGTTTTGGGCGAATTACGGGCAGGCCGTGATTACGGCCGTAATTCTGCCCGTATTTCGCCCAGAGTCGGGTTTTTGAAGGCAGATTCGAGCCAAAGAAGAGGAATCAGATTTCTTGAGCAAAAACAGAGCCCTAGAGAGAGAAAGGACGAAGAACACATCCTAGAAGCTATCTTGGAGCTGGGTTTCATCAAATCAAGCTTGGAGATCGTCATAGGAGTGGAAATCATCATCCCAGAGAAGATTCTTCCCATAATTATGAGTATGACTGCTTTGTATCTTGTTTCTCTCTCTCTCTCTCTCTATGGAGTAGAACCCCTCTCTCACTTGGGGATGAAGAACCCTAGTTCTATGTGTTAGGGATTGATTGTAATGACTTGGGATGATATTACTGTTTGATTTTAATCGAATGATGCATGTTTATTGAGTCAATTGAAGTCTGATCAACTTTTCCTGATTCCTGCTGCAATCTGAGATAGATAGAATCTGATTAGGTTGCTAGAGTCTCATCATTCGGTAGTAGGAGATTGGCTATACGAGAGTTAGCCAGTTTACTGCTTTGTACTGGAATCCAATTCCAGTAGTGGAGTTCTGTTCTAACTGCTTCAGCTTTCTATCCCTGTGAAGACTAGTCGTCTGCCGGGTAGTTAGACTGAGAGGGCTTGGTCAGCTTAAGAGATTCCAAGCTACTGTCGGATCTTCCGCAGTCTAATCAACAGTAAATCAACCCAGGGAAATACAATTGAAACCTAACTAAGGAGCTAGGGGGACTCATTCCCGAGTGACTCTTACCTGCTTGAGAAAACCGTACCAATTCCTGCTTTCTTTCTGCTTTTGCTTCTAAACAACAATCACTTGCTTTAGTTGGCTAGATAATAGATAATCACTGAGTAAGCAGTAGATCTAGACCCCGGGTTGATAATATTACTTGTCACTTTACTGCATTTCCGGTCTGCGATTACACTTGGTCGCAGATTGGTGTTGTGTTTTAGAGCATCAATGAGCACGGCAATGTTGAGAAACCTCCACCTAGTAAACTTCTTGGAGTGAACCGCCGAGCTTTATCTATTGAAGCTTACACAGAGACGGAGAAGAGGGATAATCTTTTCCACTATCGTTTCCAGGTCAATGAGAAGGTGTTGTATGTGGTCATTGATGGTGGTAGCTGCACCAATGTGGTTAGTCTGGATGCAGTCAAGAAGCTAGGATTGACCACCATCAAGCATCCTCAACCATATACCCTACATTGGCTGAACGACTATGGGAATATTAAAGTAAATGAGAAGGTCAAGGTTTGTTTTCAGATCGATGATAATGCAAATGAGATTTGGTGTGATGTTGCAACAATGCAGGCTGCTCATCTCCTCTCTGGTCGTCCATGGCAATATGATCGAGAGGTTATTCATGATGGAAGGACAATAGCTACCGGTTCAAGAAAGGAGATCAGAAGTTTCTGCTGAATCCATTGTCACCAGCTGAGGTCCGGGACGACCAACAACAAATGGCAATGAACTGGGCCAGGGAGAAAAGAAGTGCAAGTGGCTTGACAATGCCAAGGAGGACTCCGTTTGGAAATTCTGTTGATGTTATGTCTTGCAGGAAGGTACTAGCTTTGAAGGAAAATATTTTTCAACAGGGCAATGAGCCCAAGTGCATTTGGGTGTTTCTGCATTGCGGCGCAGCAGGGGTTTGATCTTAGGGAGTCCCTTTTGATAGAAGAGATGATCTTTGGGAGGATTTCCTTGGGTTGCTTTCCTTACTAGTCTTGCTGCTTTGTAGAGTAGTAGCTTTCTTTTTTACGGTTTGGGTTGTTGCCTGGTCTGAGTTAGTCTATTGGGAGAGTGCCTTTTCTCCTTCTCCTTGTTTTAAACTGCTATTTTTTTCTAATATATATCACCCTTAAAAAAAAATTCAATAGGGAGGTCCTGATGCGATTCCCTAGAGCGACCCAAACCACTCTACTCGAAGTAGAAGGAAGGATACACCTCGATAAAGCTAGAAGAGTGAGCAGCACAAAATCCACGACAAGGGCATCAAAATCCATGGCCATGGAACTAAGGTTTGGATTGTGGATTTGAAGTAGGAGAAATCCATGGTTAGTAGTCCAAAAACCACGACCGTGGATTCAAGGATGGATCATGGAATTTGGCCTAACGGGTTAAAATTCCCTTTTCGGTTTAGACTTTTGTTTCCTTTCGCTTTTTAGGTTATTTTATTTGCCCTAAACTATATAAAGGGGCTGGAGACATGAATTTTAGCAGACTTTGAAGAATATTAAGCTGTTATATTAGTTTTGTGATAACACCTAAATTGGTGTTATTTACCCTTCATATTAAGATTTTTTCGTGCCAATTAATGTGCATAATTGTTTGAACAACATCAATATCATCCCTATTCCATTCCTATTAGATTTCAATGTGATTTTAGGGTGCTTTAGACAATACATGCAAATTAGGTACAAAATAAGGACACAAGTGTAGCAAAAGCGGCAGAAGTAATATAACACTAAACCGGGTCCCCGAATTTCATCAAACCTCAAACCGAATTGTAATTCGGTTCGGTTTGGAATTTCACACACCAAATTTGTGAGAATACTTGTATCTTCTCCATTTTAAATTATTTTCACCCCAAATGTAAACAATAAATATGCAATTATATGCATTATCAATGATAAAATAAAAAATTTCAACACACAAGTAATATAACACTAAAATGATTTAAATATTTAAGTCTCAAAACAAGTACAAACATAAAAATTCACCATTTGGAGCTTGCAATTATAGTAATTCGATTTTTTAGTTGGAAATTCGGAATTTTGGTTTGGTTGAAAGAACAATGGTTTCCGAAATATCCATATTTCCCTTCCGAATTTCGAACCGAATAGCATTATTTGGGTTATGGTTAGGTTTAATTCGGTTTTGGTTTCGGTTCGGGTTTACCGAACTAGTTCCCCCCCCCCCCCCACCCTACTTCAAAGTCAGGTTGAAGATCGCGGCCTAAAATCCCAAGATCAAGGCCGCAAATTGGAAGGCTGAGGGCGTCAACTTCGTGAAGAAGCAGCTGAGGAGAACAAAGAGTTTCCCCAGTTAGAACTCGGCCATAGTGCAAACTGATCACGAGGAAGTTTGCGGACGTGACTCGTGAATCGCAAGCGCGAAGTCAGGCCCCGAACTCCTCATTCGCGAAGGCCGAAACAGTAGCGTCACAAGATCACGGCCTCTTTGTAGAAGATCGCGCCCGCGATCTCTACACCGCCTGCTCGCGAACTTCTTCGTTCTCTGATGCCTATAAAGAGAATCCCATTTCCGCCATTCAAGGGAGCTGATTTTGAGATTGAATTTCTGGTTTTAGAGAGAGAGAAGCTAAAGGAAGGAGAAGAGGAGAAGAGGAGAAGAAGGAGAAGGAGCTATAAGAAAGTAACCATCTTCCTCAACATAAAGCCTTATCCCACCTCTTCTATGTATCTTCTTCCCTCCTTTATCAAGTAGTACTCTAAGGTACTAGGGGTTCTAAACTCCAAAACCTAGTTTTAGGGTTACTATGTATTTATGGATATTTTAAGGTTTTAATGAATGAATGTGTTTATCTAGTTGATTTGAATGTTGTTCTATCTTTGATTGTGTTTGGGTAAGTCGCCCTAATTTTCTCTACTAGCCTACTTGAGCTTCTACACTGGGTGTGGAGTTTTAGGGTTAGACAGGTATGTGCCATCAAGCAAATTGAGGTTAGATGTATGAATAGGATCCTATGTGGACTAGGAGACCAAACCCCTGCCATAGGAATGTCTTCCTAGATAAAACCTGGGATGAAACCTCGGCGTGGATGGTGGGTACTACCCATTGAAAGGAGCTATGAGCTTAATGCCCTAGATACAATAGCCTAGATCGAGGTGACTTACAAGGGTTTAGGGGAAGCGCACTCGGAGGCGTGTGGATAACCACGAAATCCGACGGAAAAGAACTCATTCACCTCATTCAACGAACCCTAAGTATTTAGAAATTGCATAGTAGTCCTAGACTAGGGTGAGGGATAGTTCCCCGAAGTACCTGCTTTTATCTTTATTTGATCTCTCTACTATTTGTTAGCTCATATCCTCCAACACAAACCTTTAAACCGATCAACTAGATAACAACAACGTGAGAAGTAGGCTAGGGTACCAGGACCCGAGTGAATACGACCTTGATTGTCATTATACGACAATGCCATTTTATGTTAAACTTGGCATAGGATGGGTTAGTTGTTGACACGTGCTAACCACTGAAAATAATCTGCACAGATGAATGTAATCAAGCTTTTTGGCATCGTTGCCGGGGACCCTTGGTAACTAGTAGAAAACCATTGAGTTGTTAGTTTATCCTTTATTTTGTTTTGTTTTGTCTTGTGTTTTTGTCACTTTCGTAGTTTGTTTTGTGTTTTGTTTTGTTATCCAACTTTGTGCATCATGCGTTGTAGAAGTTTTTGTGTGTGAATAGATTATTTCTAATGGACCGAACCAAGTGGAAACGTATTGTGAAGGTAACTACTGGTACACTTCGCAAGCAACTGCAGTTCCAAGGAGGGAATGGCGAGAGTGCTCTCGATCATATGTCCCACTTCTTGAAGGCTGCTAAACCTATGAGGATACCGAGGTTCACTAAAGTTAAGAAAAATGGTATATTCTTCGATTTACTCTGCAAGGGGATCCCGCAGTCTGGTATAAGGAGTTTCAAACCACAACCCTCTCTGGAGTCAAGTCATGGAGGCATTCCTGTATCAGTATCTTACTGGTACATTATCAGTTATGCAGAAGAAAGATATGGTCGCCTTGCAACAAGGAACCCAAGAGAACTTCCCGTAGGCTTGGGAATGGTTTAAAGGATTGATAAGACGGAATCTGAATAAAGGATACTCTGATGATCGACTCTAAGATAGCTTCCTCAATGGAATCCAAGAGAACTTTAAGGGATGATCGATAGAAGATATCCAACCGGGTTCTGATATGATGATCTCAAGCAAGTGAAGGAATTACGCAATCACATAGAACGGGAGGAAGGCCGCTTAGCTAGAGAGTTAGCTATTCAAAGCCAAATAAGCTAAATGGGCAAGGAACTTGAGAAACTAACGGGAACAGTCGAGACAGATCAGCCACAGGTAAAATAAGCGTTTGCACTTAGCACAAGGCTGTCTCCCTAGTATATCATTTCTCTATCACCTCCGGAACAATATGAAGACCACACCGCTGACAAACCTTGCATATCTTGCCGTGAGTTGAAGCGTCAGTTCGAGCGGTTGGAGGAAAGGGTATATGAATGGGTCTCGATTTGTTATCAGTGGATGAACGATTTTGATCGGTTTGTCCATGCTTCTATATCTCAAGTGGACTCCTTGAGAACAGAAACCAAAGTACTAGTGAGCACACTCAAGATTATGTCCGCTTCAGTTGGACTCCCAGAAGAGATAATTAGAGAAGGACAACAAAGATCTGAAGTGCAACAAGTTCAGCCGATTAGGAGCAAGTTGACAATTAAACCAGAACCTATAACTGCCAACTCTACTGCAAAGTTTGACCAAAGCAAGAAAGAGGAAGTGGCCAGAGACGTTTCTTTGGCTATTCCAACAATCCAAGAAGTCTTGGAACTTTCCAATTACATCAACCATAGAGCAATTGGTAGCCACTAAGTGGGAATTGGAAAAGCATCCAATTGTTGGCATGGGGCAAGCATACCGGTATTCATTAATCATGATATAACAATTGAGAGGGGCAACCCATTTTTATTCACCATTTCGTGCTCAATTAAGGGGCCTACCATCAAAATGTCTTCGTAGACCTTTTCTCGGATCTCAACGTCATGAGCCTCAAATTGCACCGGGAGTTGGATTGTCGGGTTTGAGGCCGACAGACATGCATGGCTATAAAACTTGCTGATAGTTCAATAGCCTACCCAAAGGGGGGTAATGGAAGATATATTGGTTAGAGTTGGATCGTTCGTCTATCTAGTGGATTTTTTAGTGGTAGATGCAGGACCTGAAGCTCAGACTCATATTTTACTTGGCAAGACTTTCTTAGCTATCATAAGAGCTCTAATTGAGGTCCCAAAAAGGCGAGTGATCATGGAGTACGGAAAAGATAAGCTGATAATACATCTCTCCAGCGATAGACGAGGAGCTTTACCCTCGTTCGCTCCCTACACAAGATCGAGTTCAACAACTACTCAAGCTCCTCCAAATGGATTGAATTTGGATCCCTTGTTGGTACAAACTTACCAAGTGAGCAAGATAGCATCCCTAGAGGAGGAAGTAACGTCTGGTCAAATCCTCATAAGAATTTTTAAGGAAACCACCCAACCTCCACTCCTTAACCATGAGGCCAAAATGATTTACCTTCAGAGTCATCAATCAAGGCGAACACCGATCGGCTTCATGGGTTGCACTTGGGCCTTCACTATAAGGGTGAGTTCAATGAAACCAACCAAGATGAGAGGGATCCTTACACTTGATGATCTCTCGTGACCTTAGAGCCCGGCGAAAAGACTTCAAAGACGCACTTGTTGGGAGGTACCCCAACACTTCGGTTTGTTTTTCTTCTACATTATCCTGTTAAATAAATTTTTTCTTAGAATCTATTAGATTTAGGTACCATGTTCTAGTGTTCTAATCGTCAGATTTTTCATTAACCTTTCAGCCAATGGGTAGAATGAGAGCTCTTGAGATCGCGACCTTCAATGAAAATTTCACGGCCGCAAACTAGCAGTGTTAGCCTGTGAACTTGCCCGCACTCGGGGTGTAAAACCCCAACTGATGGGCCGTGTGATTTTTGGCTCTCATTCTCCCTACTTTTCTCTCCTATTTTGTTATGTTCCCTTCTAGCATGACTCTCCACAACCCGCATCTAAAAATTAAGTGAACGATTAATTGTCGACTTGAGTAGAGCTAATTTAAGGTAGCATTCTTGCAAATATTCTCCTATCAAAGGTTAGTTGTCTCTCAAGATTAGTATTTGACTCTCCTCTTTGGTTTCCACATTGGCATGTGCTTAATGTGGTTTGAGCAAAGAAGCTTTCCTACCCCTTCTTTTCATAGTGTGCGTTTAGGATTGACTTGGATGGGTAGGGGGTTCCTTGCTCATCTTGGATGCTATTGTTTGATGGAATTTCTTTTACCCAAGTTGTCTTCATTTTATGCCAACAAGGTGTTCAATCAATTTTCCAATTGAAAAAAATGGTTGCTAAGTAGCTTTATGGTTTATTCATTGTTCTTGCATACCTTTTCGTGATGATCTCTTGTTGGTATAATTTCCACTACCCCCTTTTAATCATGATATTATAATGTTCTTGACTCACTTCTTATCCTCGTACTAATAAGGTGTTTATTTAGTCTTCGCAAAGCATGGGTAAGTCAAAGAAGGTTCACGAGTCACCGACCTCAATCAAGGGTGTGAAGAAAGCGACACATCCGTATCTTGAATTCAGAGACAATGACAAGGCCGAATATGCACATTTCACTTCACGAACCAATGGGGAACATTGTTGCATCTCTTGGGAGATTTTGGAGGAATTTTGGGCCGCCACCCCCATTCAAGACCCAACATGGCTCAAACTTTTGACGATCAATGAGAAGATTTACGCCGAGCCAACTCTCGAGTTCTTGACTACTTTGAATTAATCGGTACTCACTATCAATCGAGATTTCCCAAGGACACTTACCTTCTCACTCGGAGGTAAACCAAGGGTTATGAGCTTCAATTAGTTCACCGAAGCTATTGCTATCTATCCTCCGGGATTCATCTTTTCTCAAGAAGGCTGCGCACTTCAAGGTGAGGAATTAGCTACTTGTCATCATCCGGAAGAATTCTTTAGTAGCAACCTCAGAAGCTCAGATCATCAAGCATCCTTCCATCCAAAATCCACTAAGAGCACCTCATTGAACGCAGAATGGCGCATCCTCCATAACATCATCTCGTACACGGTCGCCTCCAAGGAAAATTGTGCTATCAACCTAACAAAGAGGGATCTAAATCTTCCAAGATCAATGCTCGTTGAGTTTCATTTGAATCTTGGATTGGTCATCCTCAAAACTCTTTACAAGAATATTACAAACTTGTCGACAAAGACCATCCATGGAGGGGCATTTGTCACTCGTCTTGCTCGATATTTTGGGATCAACTTGGAGGAATGCAACTATACGATCATCCGCTCCACACAAGTGTTCGAGGATCGCTTACCAAAATGAAGCTTCTGACTAATGGAAGAAATACCATCAAGGGCATAACTCCCCAACCACTCAGACTTTTACTTGAAGCAACCCAACTGGTTTCTTTTGCAGGAACAGGGACGCCATCATCCGCCACCCAAGCATCCCAGATAGCTATTCTTATTGAACAGAATGCCAAGCTAATAGAGCAGAACTCCAGGCTTATTGAGGATCAAGGGGAGGTTCGTTTCCTTTTAAGGTGAAAGAGGAAGTCTAGACGTCATCTATTGGGGGCGGTTCACATGATAATGATGAAAATGCATATGGATCCAAGCAAAGTTGAACATGATTTCTCTCTTTCACCCCCATCGGATGGCGATCATCTTGTGTCTGAGGACGATGGCCACTTTAATGACATCTCAGAGGAGGATTGAGTACTAGGCATCTAGGGCCTAAGTTCTATCTTTTCTTTTTCTTTGATTTTCTTTTATTTTAATTAAAACAATGGTTAATTATTGCTTTATTTTCGTATTACTTTTCACACTTTAAATATTCTAGCACTACTAGTATTAGTACTTATATTATATATCTATCGTTCCTTTAACTCTTAATCGTCTTCCTCTATTTCTTATGCTCTTGATCGTTGTGAAAACCACCAGGAAGACAAAGACCAACACTTGTGTACTTTCATCAACCCACAACCTAACCTATGATAACCTTCATGCCCTTCTCTTATGAAACTCACACATTGTGCACAATGTGTTGCTCAAGTGTGGGGGGATGTGTGTGAATGTTTGAATGATTATCATGATTGATTGAACAATGAATTGCTAGTATCTCCCTTGTTTATGAATGTAAGACGTTGATGAATGCGTATGGAAGTGTATGCTAGCGATTGTGTTTGTGTTGTGGTGATTAATGGTCAAATGATATTGTTTTGGAACCTTGAATGCATTACCCTAATTTTTTCAAATTTGAGGGTTCCAAATCACCTTGTTCCTTGCAACTCCTTACTCGATATGCTTTGATTTGATAGATGATTGATGTGTTATGCTCGCTAGGTGATAGTTGCATGATTAGGGTACTAGTGTATGAGGGATTTTACTATCTTCTTCCCCTTTTGTGAGTTTATATTGTTTGCTATTTTGGGAAGAACATGTGTGCGGGATTCTCTTTTTTTTTTGTTTTGCGAAATCGAAGCTTTTACAAATTTGTGCGTATTAAAAAGAAAGAAAAGAGCGAAAAATCTTTTGAAAATGAGGTTCTCATGTGAGAGGAAACCAATCCTCGCGGATTCAGAGTGCCCTTTGAGGATATGTTTGGGGATCAGATAGCTTTATCGGATCCCGACCATATTTCACTACTTACCATCCCCCACGCATCTTTCCTCCTCACGGAATTGTATGCCAAAGTACAAAGTACTTTTTAGTGATTAATGAGACCTCAAAGCTATCATTTGTACCCAACATATGTGGCAACCCAGTGTAGAGTGCAGGCTGGGAAGTGGTGCTTGTGTTAAGTGAATCCGCCCATCAACTTCCCCACCTGTGACTTTGAAAGGGAAGGCTATGATACATCTGGTCTTGGTCGTGAGGGAGAGATGCTTGTTTGCAAAAGAGTTTGCAAAAGCTTGGTGCAATGCGCGTCAACGTCAAAAAAGAATACCAATATACGAAAACTCCTAA